AAAGAAATTATTGTCGCCAATGAGGGGATGAATGGTAGTCGTCATTATCTTTATAATCAAGCCACTTTGGAAGACAAAGAGGACCGTTTTGCCTACCTTCCACCTCAACACCTACTCAATTTAGAAGAAATGATTGACAATTGAATTTTTCTTCATGATAAATATCTAATGGAAAAACTTATTTTTAAGTATCCCCAGACCATAGCGAATAAAGTGGGGGAAGTTAGGATTAAGCAGCCACCTCTCAACTACTCCTCAACCGGAAGCAGCAAAAGTGAAGAGAATGATTTAATTTCTGCTTATACTAGCCAGGCTAACGAAATTTTTGGAAACCATTGACCCGATTTTGTTAAAGAACGAATAGAAAAAGAGTGAAAAATTATTAAGGGTCGTTATGTCTTTATTTACTGGTTATCCTACAAGGTGGTGCAAAAAACCCACCAAGATGGTTCTCTGGTTGGTTCAAGAGGTTCGATTGGTTCCTCTTTTATTGCCTATTTATGCGGAATTACTGACTTGAATCCCTTGCCTTTTTATAAATTCTGTTCTAACTGTCGTTATACTGAACTTTATGAAGCCCAAAGTCGGGTCTATTCTTGTTATGATTACCAAGAAAAAGAAAATTGTCCTAACTGCTCCTCATCATTAACCATGGAGGGTCATAATTTACCTTTTGAAACCTTTTTTGGCTGAGAAGGAGAAAAGACCCCAGACATTGACCTTAATTTTTCTGGTGAGTATCAAAAAGTTGCCCATAATTATGTGCGGCAACTACTAGGAGAAGAATCGGTTTATCGGATTGGCACGATTAATACTTTGTCTCAACAAACCGCCGAAATATTTTGAAAAGAACATCTCAAATTACGCAAAAAATTCAACCCCGATTTTAATGAAGAAAGATGATTTAAAGAATGGGTTAATGGAGAAAAGTTGAAAGAACTAGAAAAAAAATTATTCCAAGCCCGCAAGGAAAAAATCCAACTGGAAGCAGAATTAAAGAAGTTAGAAAGTTAAATAATTAAATAATAAAACTATTATATAGAATAAGACTTCTATATTGGAATAAAACAAAATTATAATATATAACTAATATCATCATGAGAATAAATAATAATCTTCCCCCTTACGCGGAAGAACAAACCCTAAAACAAGAACAAAAATTAACCATTGAGGAGATATTAAGTCAATTTCAACAACCTATCCCCTCTAATTTTATTGAATTAGGACAACCCAAAAAATATTGAGGTTCCACGGAAGGTTTGGATAAACCTCTTTGTGAACGCTATACTTTTAAATATGATAATAATAAATCAACTACACTAGACATTACCCAAGAATTAAGTGATAAATTGGAGTTAAATTCGAAGGAAAATTTTCATGTTTTCAAAAAAGTATTAACCCGCTCACCAGAGGAAGGCGGAATAACCATCAAAAATGAAAATGAAATCTTCATTCAAAAACCTTTAACTATCAACAACTTAGAAAGTTCCTTAAAGGACTGATTAACTGAAATCGAACAGTTAAAAAAACAAATTACTAAGTTAAGAAATAATGAAGAAGAAAGACAAGAAACCATCACTAACTTACAAGAGGAACGGGATAATCTAACTAATCGCCTTACCGAATTAGACCAATTATTACATGGCAGTGCTATTATCTTCGGTAAACAACAGCATTATATTAACCAAATAACTCACCAATTACAACAAGAACAAAATAATATCACTAATTCAGCGGAATATAATGCTAACTTACGACAGGATTTACTTACCTTAGCCCACACCAGAAAAGAATTACAAGGCACAGTTAAAGAACTAAGAGATTGAAAGAACGAATTAAAATTTAATCTGGTTCCGCTCTTTTGACCGCAGGCTTTTTATACTGAGGATACTCCGGCTGTTGCCATTTTAATTGAAAAAGTTAAAGGGTTAGTTCAGGAACGGGATAATTTGTGACAAAGACCAACCTCAGAAGAAATCGAACAAACTCAAACTAGTTTTGATCAATTATTAAGTCAAATCTTAGAACTAGAACAAAAACTAAATCTTACTCAATCAGAACTATTAACTATCCCTCCTAACTGAAAAATTCGTTTAACTACTGCCAGACAAAGAATAATTGATTTGGAACAAGAAAAGGAAGAGTTAAATAGTAATTTACAAACTCAACACCAGCAAGAACTAACTCAAAAGGATGATGAGATAACTAGACTTGAAAAGAGAATAGAGGATTTAGAGGTAGAACGAGATGCCCGTCCAAGAATTACATTAGCAAAATGAAATGATTATAAAAACCGACCAACCCAAGAAGAATTAACTAAACTTCAAAAAGAATTAGAGATAGAAAGGGGTTGGTGGGATAAATGAGAAAAACTTCATGACGAAGATTTTTGCGTTTGATTTAATGGTGATAGTCCGAGTGTCATTTGTTCTTTGGGTGACAAAAAAAGTGGCGAAAATCGTTTCCTTATACTCTTATGTAGTGGAAATTTCAGTAACAAACCTGGTTGTATAAAAGAAGCCTTTTTCCTAAATGATAATGAAAAAGAAGGACAATATTTTTATTTTAGACGTTGAGTAAAAGACATTTATGAATACTACAAGAAAAAATAATTATGGTAGGAATCACAGCAGAACAAAAAGAAAAGAACAAACAATATGTCCTTGACCATTTGGAAGAGTATGTAATTGATAGTCATGATGTTTTAACCAACGTTGCTCCTGACACAGAAGGGGATGAATGGTTTTTTTACTTTGGCAAAGATAGTTTTACCCCCGAAGGATATGAGGAGATAAAAGCAAAAATAACTGAAATGATTTTAAAAGAAATAAAAGACTGAGAGTTGGTTTTTGGCGAGCGACATAATGGTGATGTTGACATGGGAAAAATAGAGTATTTTCGACATAAGCCAAGCAAAAAGAGGATAAATGCAGATAATTTTGGTTTCGAACAAGGCTACATAATAATAGGAGAATTGGGCTATCGAAAAAATATTTGAGAAAATTACGAACAAGATAAACGAGAAAACTTAACCAGTAATAGTGATAATCAACAATCCCCTCCAAATCCAGTTCCAGAACAACCCCAAAACCCAGCCCAACAAGAGCCAGTGTCCCCAAATCAAAATAAATCCCCTTCCGAAAATAATCCTTCTCCAACTCCCAAACAAGTAGTCCCAAAAAAACAAACCAATGACCCCTCCCCCAATCAAGACCAACCAGCAGATAATAACCCCAAACAAAACCCCAACAATTTTCTCCCTTCCAATACCGACATCCAAAACAATTATAATTCAGATAAAGACAAATCAACCATTGACAATAACCCTACTTTAACCACCCCCGAACAAAAAGTCCAAGCCCAGGAATTATTAAAACTAATCATCACCGCGGAATTATTAGTTAAAGAGCGGAAATTCAATCCCGAAACTTTATCTCAACTAAAAAAAGAAAAAGAGCAGAATACTCTGGCTTATCAACTCTTAAATCAAGAAGGAAGAATAGAGCAAGCAATCAGTCAATTACAAAGTATTCAAAAAAAATTAAAGAATAAGGATAAAAAAGTGGGTAATCATCAACCATCTACTCTTTCTCTATCTACCAAGTTATTAATTGGTGGTGGAGTAATTGTGTTAATAGTCTTTGCCCTTCTAATATCAAGAGTAAAAAAGAGAAAAAAATAAGTTTATAAGATATTTTGTGAGTAAAGAATTAGAAACTAAAATTATTGACTATTTAAAAAAATTAGAAAAGAGTGAAATTTCTCCCCCGATAAGTGGTAAAAAAAAAAGCCTCTTGTTGACTGGTAAAAATGAGTATGAAAAATTGGACCGAGAATTAAAAGAATATCAGGAGTTAAGTCAAGAAGTAAGTAAGGAGGAGCAAGGTTTTCTCCTAGTTGAGATTAAAAATTTGGAAGAAAAAAAAGAGGAATTAATTAATAAAATTAAAGAACAAATAATTGAAGAAGAAGGAAACAGTCAGAATATTTTAATGGAAATCCGTC